TTAATTGGAAGATTTTCTTTGTAAATTGTTCATAAACAGGTACAAAGAAATTGAAAGTATTTTTTTTAATTGAATTCAATCCAATTTTTTCATTAATTCGACAACTTGTGCATTTCAGTAAAACATCTTTTCTTAAGTCCTATTTTATATTCAACTTTGCGAATTTTTACTGATGGAATATTTCTCATCCGATTATGGTTTATTCGGAGCATAAATTAGCATTCATTCGCTTCCTTAAACGTACTCTACCTACATGCAGCGCATTACGATTTGACTAATTTAATTCCATTAAAAAAAACGAAAATGCCTGGCATATTTTCACGAATGCCTCAAAGGCGTGGAATAACGTAACTACACACTATTTTTCTAAGGTTCAAGGTTATCCTAGGCCGTACGCCATTATTTTGCTAATGATAGAAAACTGTGTTATGATACATAAATTCCCACAAAAAAAAACTCACATAATGAATTTAAACCATATTGAATAAAAAGTTGGCTGAACAATTAATTCGTGAAAATTCCTCCATATCACCGTCAGATCTACTGTTCTTTTGAGTTTATTACACTTCTCATAAACTGCTTTAAATAGGTTGAAACGTAAGTGATTGCGAGTGGGTCCGTTGAAAAAACTCTTCATAAATGTATAATCGAAGGTTCCATTGTGATGGAGTAAAATCAATAAGCCGATCAATCAACGCGAACGTCGGTGTGTGCATCCTAGTTAACTCCCGTGTTACTGACCGTGAAAGAAATTAAGTTGTTCCCAGAATGTATAAAATATCTCATCAAATAAATTTAATGAATTTTATTATTATGAGTTCGTGATCTAATACACGAATAAATTATTTATTTTAAATTGTTACGCAGGTTTGGACTAAATGCAACGGTAAAATTTGATTCATTATTTTAGAAGGTTTAATGAATTTATTGATGATAGAATAATTTTTACGAATTAGTTATTAGTCGAAAATCTTTATAAGGTTGGTTATAGATAGTTATTCTTTAATAAATGGGGAGATCTGGATATGGAATGAATTTACTTAAGTCCGTTACTGGTTTTAATCGTTTTTTTCTAGGTTTCCAAATACAAAACGAGTGGAATCGATCACGTTGTACAGCATATTATGCATGAGCATATAATAAGCCACCGGAAAAAACGTAATATTTAACAAAGAGAATACTCATTTTTTGTTGCATACACATCGTTTTGAGATCGTTATAAAAAAGGATCGTTTAATTTTACAATCGATACATTCATATTTCACTCGAGATTGGAATAAAATAAGGTAAGATGATGGTGCATTTTTGCCAGTTATTATACTATTTCACAGTCTATATTCTTCGGCGATGATATGAGAGCATGAGAACGCAATGACTCGTGTGAAAATACGTTTAACCTTCCATAATGAACAAACATAAAACTACAAAAAAATCTCGTTGGGAATTATGAGTGTGTAATTTTAAACATTTTAATAAACTTTCTCGAATAACGATGAAAATTTTTAGGAGTTGTTTATTGCAACAATAAACGGGTTATTTTATTAAGAATCGCGTTTAATTGCATGTGAGGATTCTGCGAACCGCGAACGCGAATAATCGAACGTTTAATGAAAACAAAGAGCCAATTTAAATGGTCCGATTTTGCATGAATAAGCAGATGCAAAGCGATAAGGATCCAGGTTAGCGCCAGGTTGGCTACCGGCCTGACTATCGCCACTTCTTCATCGTTCCCAGAACACGCCCGCTTTGATTTATTCATCTCGATGACGGTCAACGGGAGCTTTTAAAATTCCAATTGCATCGCCGATGGTAATTGCACAATGGTTATACCTACATTAAAGTTCAATTTATCCTTTGCCACTCGAAGCATTCGACTCCAATTTTTTCTCAATGCCCGGCCTTTCGGCCTTTCCATATTCATCGCAAAATACATTTTTAGCCCTGTTGAATAATCTAGTGAATTCAAGCGGGAATAAATGAAGCATATTATACTACCATAGCTACCATACCGGATCATTGAGTCGTTCCTGACTAATGGGCGCATTAAAAAATGAATTCCGATTGAAAAAAGCCGGACCGAAGACATGATCAATTAAAAATCTTTTTATAATTAAAATGAATTTAATGGAGACCGGGAGCCCTAAATGAGCAATATCTATTCCCGACGTACCGGCTATGCAATGCATCAAAAGCCGACAACTTATCAGAAAGCTCTATTATAATTCAAGCGAGCGATTGCTGCTGTCGTAGAAAGTGATGACAGGTTGATCTACCAGTCATTCTCAATATATAAATGACTTCTTTATATTTATTTATTAAGTGTAATCCACTATATTTGTACAATAAAAATATTTAAAAAAATCTATAACATCTAATAAACTAATTCATCATCATATAAAATAAAACATATTTGGCTAAATCTTAGCAGTAAAATTTCAAAGCGAAGGTCCAAAAATTGTTGTTCTAACCTGGTATTCTACCTTAAGCTCGGCTATAAGGTGGTTGCACGAATGAAGAAATAGTCGAGTGAATTAGTGTGAAGGTTCCAAAGATATAGAAGTTATAAATTTTGAATCATATCGTTGACAAAGGCTCTCTTGATGACTGCCACCCACGATGGGGTTATTTGAGGCTGTCGGGACCGGATTCGTCGGATATATAAATAAATAGCTCTTTTTGTGTGGAACATTTTTGCCATCATCAATTCGGTTCGACTGTCTACAGCTAAGAGGGCTTATTTATTTGTGTTTTTTAAAATTAAAATAAATAAATATTGTAACTTTTTACAACCCTCTATATCGATAGTTTGTCACAAATCAAAGGTCTCTGTTTCGCCATGATCTCTTTGATACCATTAATTTACTTGCTTCAATCGTTAATCAGTCATCATATTCATAACATAATATTTATTTAAATTAGGTTAGGTACTAATAAGCGATTTACATACTTATTCACAAGAAGCTAAAAACCCTAATTGGACTAAAACCAAAAGAGCATTCATACCCAATAAATTCAACCCTTATCTAACGTTAAAAAAACATCCCGAACGACACGTTCGACTTAGCCTAATGAATTATAACAGTCGAAGAATAAATCACAACAGTGTATTGGCAGTATCTTTAATCTCATAAGCGACGGGATCCTCTAAGTCCCGCCGCCTCCTGGGGTCCCGGACTGCCGTTTTCTGCTCGCGTTTCCACCGTAAATCAGGCGGCGGACCCGGAAGAGGACTTCGCCTTTTCCGATTGACAATTTCCATTACCGAAAGCGGGACAAATTAGTGGATTATTAGTTCTGGTGATCAATGATACGGTGCGAATGGTAGCGAAGGAGGCGGGGTCGCGATCCGGTCGCAACGACACGTTTACTGTTATCCAATTTGGATTTCCAATAAAACTGCCAGGGCAAAGCTCCATCGATGGTAAGTGACGTGAATTATCCCCGACGACGGGCCACCCCCCTGGCCTCCGACGTTTTTCAATCGTCGTTGTTTGAATGTACGCGACATGAAATATTTAAGACGGACAACAAACATTGTAGATAGACAAATAGATAGATAGATAGATGCGAGTTGCAAGCCAATTACATGCAATCCCATTTTCATTAAAAATACCTGTATAGGTGTTTGATGGCTATTGTATCTTAGGTTGATCTATTTCTACACGCATGAGCATACTATACATACTTTGCATACTTTGCATATTATATAGTTGAAATGCCACTGCTCATTTATTATTTAAAATGTCTTTTGTTAAATTGTTTTTATTGTTAATTTTAAATGATGTTCATGCCTTTTGGAAACTAATTTTGAAGAGATATTACACAAATAATTCGTTGTACTTAATGTTTTTGAGAGTGTATATGCCGGGTGCAGGTCCGTAAGTGATGGTCCAAAAGTGAAAGGGAAGATTCTGATGGGCCTCAAAATATTACGATTTAACCCAACTTGCTTTAGTAAAATATTGAAAATAAAAAATATACAGAGTGTCAAAGTTGAAATCAAAAAAATTATTTTTTTGCAGCAGTTTAAAAGATTTTGGATGTACAGATATGAAAATTTGAAGACATTTTAAATAATAAATGGCCAGTGGCATTTCAATTTCATATACATATAATATGCAAAACATTTTGAGTGTGTGTAAACTAATGTTAGAATACAAAATGCCTGTTCGTTGAACTATTGTTCTAGATTCCGAAAACATTTTAGGAAAATTTTCACATCGATTAGATCGAATAGCGGTGCTTATATGCCGATACACCCGGCTCATTTTCCGCGTTTATCGGTAGCTATCAGGAAACGGCTTCGCGTGGACATATATTAACCGATCGTCATCTCCCGGTGCATCACAATCGCAATCGTCGAAAAAGAATAGAATAGAATCACGCCGAGCCGTCATCGTACAGCATCAGTTGTCATTCAGGAGGATCGACGACACGGATCGCGGAATCGCTGGGTCTTTCGCCGGAGCCGTCATTCTCTTAGGCCGGGCGCAAAATGAAGCGCAGCTTGGTGAGGTGACGCAGCGTGAGTCACGGTGAGATTTGGAAAGGGGGTAACTGCCAGCGCGAAAGCCGCGCAAATAATACCGCAGTTGTAATAACCTGCTTGCGCTTTCAAGAACCCAGTTGGTTTAACAAGATGGAAATAGCTTCCGCCCTTACGTTTGAGTTTAGTTCTGAATCTGATTCGGAAGATGAGTTCATGTCCGATGTTGTATCGATGACCTTAAAAACGAGTAATAAAAAGGCAGCGAGAAGTTCATACATAAAAAAAAGGAAAACTCACGGAGAATTCGCTCTAACCAAAGAATTTAACGATGCACAGTTTAAAAATTATTTTCGACTAAACCGTGATCAGTTTAGTGAAGTGCATGAGATCATCAAGAAAGAAATTTACGCAGAAGGATGTAACGCTACAAGGCCCATCGGGACGGAAGAGAAACTAGCTGTTTTTCTAAGGTAAGTTATTTTATTCGTATTCAATTTATTTCTCTGTAAAATTAGTGATTAATCAGTTCGTCTCCAGTGTTACCCGTAGGGCAGTCGTTCTGTTCCCTATGAATATCAAATGAGCTTAAGAGTGAATGTTCCGAATAGAAACTGGTTGATGTTGATGCTCTGCTGCTAGATGGGGTGGCTGCAGGAACAGAATGTAGAGTATGGTAGTAGGGCTGCTGCTGATCAAGGCTGTGCTGCTGGTGGACAGGAGAACTAATGCCCAGTAACATGGCTTCCGCTTGTGACACTTCGTTGAACAAACGATTTTTAACCATGTGTTGATATGAGGGTGGCATTCGTTTGGTAGACTGGTACATTGCCATAAAAAAATTAAATAGGGGGTCATTTTGAGTTGGTTGTATTTGTTGTAGCAAAGTTCTTCTCTCTTCCATTCTTGCTTTAGCCCTCTCCTCACGTTTCTCAATGCTTTCTTTAAATAGTGTAGCAACGTTATCTTTCTTAAGTTTTTTAACTGCTTTGGGGGTTGCACTGGACGTACGCATTGTAGGAAGTTTTTCTGAAAGTGTTTGAGATTGGGATTCATCCTCCACATTTTCGCTTTGCTGCTCTATGTCCATTTGCTGCAAATTTTCATTGTCTACCTCTACAGCTTCTTCATTGACTTCAAAATCTTGTGATATATTTTCAGTTTCATTGTCTTGGAGGTTTCCTTCTCTAGATTTATTGGCCATATAAGGCTGCAGAAATCCCATCTGTTTTTGAAATTTCCATTCTTTCACAACTTCCGCGCCTGCTCCACTTTTGAAACATTTTTTTTGTCGTCTAATCGCATCTCTCAATGAATGTCGTAGTTTTTCCCATAGTGACTTTGCTTCGGATCCTACAACAATAAATTAACTTCACAGTTGTAATAACATAACCCTTTAAAAATTCTATACAAAAATCAAACATTTAAAAAAAATGGGAAAACTTGGGGGGAATGTGGGAAAAGTGTTAAACCTGTTTCATTTTTTTAACAGATTATTGTATTTCAGATACTTGGCCACAGGAAACAGCTATAAAAGTATGGCGTACAGCTATAGGATGGGTGATCGAACCGTCTCCAATATTGTGCGAGACGTTTCTGAAGCAATATGGAAGCTGATGCAACCAATATATTTGCCCGAACCAACAGAAGAACAGTGGAAATCAGTAGCAGATTCATTTCAGAGAAAATGGCAATTTCCACATTGCATTGGTGCCATTGATGGCAAACATGTGGTCATTAAAAAGCCTGGTAAAAGTGGATCCTCTTTTATTAATTATAAACATACTTTCTCGATTGTGCTAATGGCTGTCGTCGACTCGAATTATAAATTCATCACCATTGATGTGGGGTCCCAAGGAAGATTCAGTGATGGAAACGTTTTCAGCACAGGCGTTTTAGCAAAGAAAATGCTGAATCAAACTTTACATCTCCCAGCACCTAGTGAAATACCTCCACTTGTGGACCCAATCCCGTATGTGTTTGTAGGAGATGAGGCCTTCCCATTATCTGACAATTTGATGCGACCTTATTCTAAACGAGGTGTCATTGATAATTTTGAAAACAAGGTGTTTAATTACAGACTGTCACGTGCACGTCAAACGGTTGAATGCGCTTTCGGTATACTTGCCTCGCGTTTTCGAGTTTTCCGAACACCTTTCGAAATTAAAGTAGAAAGTGTGATTAATGTTGTCAAGGCCGCATGTGTATTGCACAATTATTTAAGGAACTCGTCAGTACCTCACAGTGAAGAGGAATATAATGAAGATATGCCGCAAGATCAGCTGCTCCCATTGCAATCGAGCAATGCTCGAAGTACACGAAAAGCTTTTAAGATTCGAGAAGACTTTACGCATTATTTTAACTCTGCAGGAGCGGTACCTTGGCAGAGGGAAAGTATTGCTAGAGGGAAATATTGACAATTTACAATAAATAAACCGTAAATAAAACTTACCACTCTTCATTCCGATTTCCTTAGCGATTTCCCCCCACTTTTCAGTTTTTAATTTCGTTCTCATGTAGTCTGCATGACTAATATCATACAGAATTTGGCGAATCCGCACGGCTTCGATTAATTTCTCTTCCATTACTTCCACTCACCGTGAATAACTACAAGAAACTGCGGGATCGGCACTGTGTTCCGCAGGATCACGTTAAGCTAAAACTGCGTCACGTCACACTGCTAATCACTATGCGCAAAGGTATTTATTTATTAGGTTCACAAAATCTCACCGTGACTCACGCTGCGTCACCTCACCAAGCTGCGCTTCATTTTGCGCCCGGCCTTATTCGCACATGTTTCTGGCTGCGGTCACGTCAAGATGGTGACGGCAGATTGCGCGATTGACGAGCCGGCCGCATGAACCGTCCGACGGGAATGTAATGCTCTTCGGACCATTATCCATTTATCGACTAATCCTTTGTTTTTCTCATAACTTTCCTATCTATTCGGGAAAGCGGGAAACTTCAAATTCCTGCTCTTCCTGTTACCAAGGGATTATTATTTGGTACCCTTTAATCGTATACAATATCAAATATTTTTCTCTCTACCTGTGTGATCCATTCTCTATACCCATAACATGTGCGATTCATTATTGTGTCCATGAGAGGTCATTGAGCCAAAATAATCAATTATTAACACGAAAAAATCCTTACTCAATATAACACAAAATTGCTAACACAGTGATCATCTTTTCATAAGAAGCTTTCACTCGGTATTAACGAAATATTCCTATTGCATCGGAAACTCAGCGGCTGGATATAAAGTTTAAAAGGCCCGACCTCCCATAATTTTATTTTCAAATCAAAAAGCTTTTCGCTGTATGATCGCAAGCCAAATAATAGAATCGGCAGCCGTATGAATATTTGATGGCGTCATATAAGAACGAAAGGAATCGGTTTTCTTAACTGTCACGTATTGTTGGTATTGGAAACGCGATCTGCATATACCAGAAACGTTGAATTTTTGATGAGATTAAGACAGAAAGCGTGTTTCATCATCATTTGCGATACGTTACCGACGTTCTCCACCCTCGTCGTTAATTCGATAAAACGGGCCAACTGGAATAACCATATCTCTTATAAAGGCAGATGCGTTAAATTTTCAAAACTGCATAAGTACTCCTAAAACAATACTCGAGTCAGGCACTTCGAGTCAGACGGGTCGAAAAGGGTCGTAATATTCGAAGAAATTAAACGGCTCATTAGATTAGATTTTACAACCGTTTAGCATTCAGACTCGCGTATCGTTCTGAACCGTTTTAAGCAGGATGTGTGATTTTTACGAGCAAAACTTAAGTGAATGGTGCACTAAAAACGGTCGTCAAATGAATGAGTGGCGTTGTTTTGATAATTTGTTAATTTTACTGCACTGCCTTAGACGTCTTTAAAAAGAAGAAGCCACGTTTAAATGATAAATAAAATGCACGTGGGAAGTAAATCCCTTTCATTGTCACTAAGCCATCCAGTTTTATTTAATTTTAATATCTATACTACTCGTATATCCAAGAAGTTTACACTACTACTATAGTAAGTACGTATAAAATTTTGTTGGTGAGATTGAAGAGTTCCTGTGGTGTGTTTGTCTGTGGTCGATAGTAAAAATTGTTTCTCCACCACTGCACGGCCGAATTTTATCCAGTTAAAATCGAACGGAAGGCTGCGGGTCCCAGGTGAGGTGGCGCCTTCTTTGATTTACCGCTGACAGAAGAAGTTGAGAGCCCCAAGCATGGTTTATGTGGCCACAAAGGGGACATCGCAGTCTCTGCGACAATGAGCAACGTTTCTTTTCGCAGATTTATATGCTTTAGTGGTCTCATAGCTGTCAATCTCTCGGAAAAAGTTTGCTATTTTAAAAATCCGAACGCGTAGGGTCCCCTGCTGTACCTACGTCCATCCGATATTTTTTGCCAACGTTGGTCGATTTAGAATTGTCCCAAAAAATTAACAGCATCCTACGTTGCGTAGTTCGAACGGAATAACTGGAAATTTATAAAAATCAAATCGAACTTGAAAAAATCAATTGTAGTTGCCATTCAATGATTGCTTGCTAGTTAGATAATAACCGCTTAATTTTATTTTTCTAAAGATCCAATACACATTCGAAATTACGTTCTCGATTGAAAAATTAATTTAGAAATAAATTGTAACTGTTGATATTTCACTGCCAATTTCATACTTCAATGTACTCATCAATATACATTTCTTTTATTATCGATTTTTAGTGCAGGTACGGATTTGTATTTTTAATCTTTAAAACTATCAAATAAATAATTCTAATTTAACGTATGTATACAGAAGTAGTGTGTACAGAAGGTCTGTAAGTATAATTAAATAAAAGAAATAAATAAATACCAAATTTGTTGGTAAGATATAATAATATAGGAAAGAAGAATAGAAAATCAAAATTTATTGCAATCCCCCTCTGTACAAGTTATTATTTTGCCATATCGAAATGTGGTTCGTCGAAGATGAATGATTTTCATAATTAAAATGAACCGATCGACGAAAGTCGTATTTAGAAAAAGTGCGCATCCGGTTAAAGAACATTTTCTGTATATGCTTCAAGCCCGATTGGAGATTCACTAAACGTTAAATATGATTTTATATGGCCTGGAGTTTATGCAGAAGTGATCGTAGAACCGCTGCGGGTACTAAAAGGAAAGGGTATTTATCGCTCGATGAATATTTAGAGTTTGCGGTTTGAGAGGAAATATAAAAAATATTGATTATTATTAAAAGGTTTAAGCAAAGTGGGAACTTGTATTGATTCAAAACAGAAATCATTTGATATCGAACAGGCATTTAATTGGAGTAAAAAACACTATTGTATGCGAATTTAGAAAACACGCTTCAAGTCCTCGACACTGGCCGAGAATAGGCAAAAAAATATTTTACTTAATTAATGGTGGATCGTACCAAAGTCAAATAAAGAATAGAAATGGAAAATTGCTCTTCGAACATGGACATGAAGAAACGAGTGCACGTCCCAATGACAATACTTTATAACTTTCGTGCATGAATCGACTGCGTATTATCGCTGATGTGCCAATTAATTTGTTTGACATACCAGCTCCATACTTTCAGTCGATTAGACGCAAAGGTACTTAATAAAATAAATTAAACAAATTAGATTTACCACTTTCCTATACTCAGTTCTCTGGTCAATTACATTATTTATAGGAGTTTCTTATACTCAAATTTTTATTCTTCAATATCGAATATTTTACATATGTAATAATTTACTGTTCTCTGATATGATAAGAAGAAAATTATATTAAAACAAGTTGTTAAAAATCTCAAAGTTTATGGGTATTTATGAGTGTTTATTTGCAATGAAATTTTCTCTTATTAGAATGCAGTTTTTAATGAACTTTTGTGTTAATCGTTTGTACTATTACTACTTGTTGATTAAGGATTGACAGGACAAAATTCTTTTCATTTTTGAATGGTTTTTATTTGTCGAGTTTTTATTCGATGCAATATCCTCGGAAAAAATTGGTTTTGTTCTATATCGTTAAAGTCTAATTGGTCGAAATGCTTTTTGCCGTTCAATGCGCAGCCACGAATATTCAATAGGTCAATGCGATAGAATAAAAACTAATTGATTTTCGCAATGATGTACTTTAATTAATTAATAGATTGGTAGACGTTCGAAAATGCTGAAATTATTTACCTACATACATACGTACGCTGCCGATCCAATCATTAATTCTGCATAGTTCCTTGCTTGAACCAGCCGAGATCAGACCTCATTTTCGACAATAAAAACCTATTTTGTATGCGCGCAGCGGGATTCATTCATATTTATTTGACAATGCCTGATTAATACCGACCTGCAGCTACTGTTGGTATGCTAATGGCAATCGAGACCGTGCGAAAATATGAATGACATATTTCTGTTATGATAATTCGCGTTCGTGGCCGCTCCTTGGATTGTTTTATTATGTAGCAGCGATCTGCGTCCGGCATTATAAACTGATTATTAAATACTACGTGGAAATGTAGACGCAGTTGTAATCGTATTTACTCTGCAGTGCAAGCGAACGTGCTAACCTATCCTAAAAAATTGTACTATTGAATTATTAGAACGTCTGTGCGTCGGTTAGTAAATAGAATATGCTAATATAAGCAATGAAAGGTGATAGGTTTTGAGCCACCCCGTATGAATAAGGTTCCTAGGAACCCAAGAATTAGCAAACGTCAAGTAAAAATATACGAGTATATTAATATCTATACTGTTCTGAGTCACTTTTTATCTTTCGATCGGGTCTTGGTTTCTGGAAGTCAGTAAAATTCTGATTTATAAGCCATAACTTTTATGACAAAACGTCATGTACCTAACCATTTTTTTTGTCAACGGTGTAGCCCAAAACAATTCATGTTGACAGTGCCATAGATTATCCGTTTATAAGCTTTTAATTTTTAAGCGCTTTACGATCGTTTCAAACATTGTTTCCTATCACATTTATCAGCCCGTGATTTTCCCACATTAATAATTTTTTAATAACCATTCGAATTAAATTACAGTTAAATTTTAAAGTGGTAGGTAAAATGGTTGTTAAAACGAATTCTGTTATTGTCGGATCGATCTGTACAAATTGGAATAGTAGATGATTTATATTAATTTCCGAATTATTTACATCAAATTTCTTTATGTTTCGTAATAAATTCCTATATTTACACGAATTTCAACCAAAATACACACATTTCAAGAGAACGGCGAGGTTGTGTATACACGACGCGCCGTTTCAAAATCGTTTCTTTTCGTAATAATTTTAAATTGATTTTAATAGAATCCAGAATTTGAAGCCGTAGGTGGTCCCTCGGATCCTTTCTATTATTGCGCCTGAAATTACTATAAAACGGTATTATTGAGCCATAAAGATTTTAAATGTTTATAAGACAATTAAAAAATAGTTCGACATATAACAGAACAATTCGATACCAGGGCATTAATCCTTCAATTTTAATTTTAGTTCTATCTAAACTAAATATCTACGCCATCAAGTCGAATATTTTTATGTTCGTTTATGTTTGATGAAGCATTCTTTTTATTTTATTCCAAGAATATGGAATTATTTCTAAT